GACCAGCCTGGAACAGCTAGAGCGACAGAAGATATCGATTCAAAGAAGATCATCAGGAAAAACCCAAAACAAAAGTGGCAGTCTGATTGGCTACTACAAAAATAAGCAAGTTGTTCGCCGGTAAACCATCAAGGCAAGCAATCAAGTCCCTTCACAACAAATCCCCCTCTAAGACTGAAACTCAAAGGGAACACATGAGCAAGCATGTAAGCTTGCTGGTGACCACATTGGTCTACTGGTGAGTAGAAGAGAAGTAAAGGCAGCAATGAAGAAATGGGCTGAGTTCAACCATGTTCCACAGATTCCTGTTGACCTGAATGAGAGAAAGAAGAGGGGGCGCTTGTTGGTCTAAAGTTTGGTGAGACCTGGGGACACCTGAGCCCATGGACAAAGACATAGCCAAAGAAGGCTAGAGGTGAGAGTGAAGCATCCAGCTGATATGAAGAGCGGAGAGATGCACAAGAACTCATCTGACCTAACCTCACATAGTACCCATCTGACCTAACCTCAATGGCGTGATAATCAGAACTCGACTAGAGTAAGATAAAACAGAAAACAATTTTTGATAAAGGAAATGAGGGAAAATTGCTATAATTTGATGCACTTCACCAATACTCATGGAGGTAGTAGCTCAAAATACCAACAGATAGGGAATGAGTCTTCACATCAAGTATCAATGCTATCCCTTCTGTATACAGGGTAAATAGGGACGGGCAACTTAGACATTGGCTACCTAAAATGAGGGGGAAATAAAGGCACAAAGTGACTGGCATATAAGGTTTCAAGAGGGAGTTTAGTTTAAGAGTGTGTGAGGGAAGATAAGAGTCCCTACTGAATAGCTTTCATCTTGTCTAGATGGATCTGGTTAAAAGAGATAGGGATAAGATTCTTAAGATTCATTAGTAAGTAATTGTTATCATGACTAATTGCAACTGTCACCAATGTAAAGGTAGACGTTTTGTAACAAAAATGGGGGAGTGGTTACTCTTACACTCCAGAAACAAAGGACCCTAGGACCATCAAGGGAGAAAGGCACAAGCAGAATGTGGGACCTTATCCAGAGAAACAGCGACACCAGAGATGAAGGCAAAGATGGGGACATAGAGAGAGGGAGCAGCTGAGGACTCTAGATTCATGGGAAGAGAGGGACTGAGAGCTGGCAGCCAGGAGGCAGGCTTGCCGAATGTGCCCTTTTGTGCTGTAAATTATTATACATGCCTGAGTGTTTGTTTTTTTTTTTAAAAAAAAGCTAAAATGAATAGAGAGGAATACTGTTCATTGATGATACATGGTGGAGATTTTAATCAGTGTAAGGAAACAAAGTGTACGATTTGTTGAATTGTTGAATATAAAACTGATGATCTACCCCGTAAACTCTCACTCAGTTCATAATAAAAATAAAAAAAAATTTAAAAATCAAATGATGAAATTTTAAGGAAAAAAAAAAAAAAAGTTTGGCAGCAAGTATTTCTACATATGTATTTGTATGTACTGCATATACATCCAAGAATATTGGAGAGCACATAGGGACAAAGTTCTGAAAACTTCTCAGCTATAACCAAATATTTTGAGGGAGTAAATCCTAGGCTGGGGGACTTTGGACCATAGTCTTAGGGAACATCCACATTAACTGGAATAACACAATCCACAAAGACAATGTTCTACAGCCTACTTTGATGAAGAGCAACTGACGGTCTTAAAAGCTTGAGAGCAATGATCTGTAATTCAACTATTGGTCTGTCCTCATCCCAACCAAAGAAAAGTGAAGAAAATCAAAGACTCAAGAAAACAATTACTCCACAGGACTAAAGGACCATTCAAGCTATAGTCTCCACTGTCCTGAAACCAGAAGAACTAGAAAGTGCCTGGGTACCACATATCAACTGCTATAATCAGGATCACAATAAAAAATCCTGAACAAAGATAAGAAAAAAAATTTTTAAAAACAAAAACAAAAAACCAGACTTCCTGCTCTGACAGGTTTGTGGAACCCATCACCCTCAGATGTCAACTTTCAGCCAACCAAGAGACAGACCTATAAAATCAGGAATAACACCAGAAAGAAATGTACTACTCAGTACAATCAACATGAAAGACCAAATGGCAGTTTCAGAAAATACTAAACAAGAAAATATATTTAAACCCTAGTATACCAGTCACTGGAGTCCTGTGTGGCACTGTGGATTAACACGCCAGACTGCAAAGCTGTTTGAACTGCAAGGTCAGCAGTTCAAGCTCACCAGCTTCTCCTTGGAAACCCTATACAGGGTCGCTATGGGTCAGAACCGACTCGACGGCACTTCACAACAACAACAATAATAACAACAATACTAGTCACCAAAGTCCTGGTGTGGCACTGAAGGAGAAGTAAAGGACTGCTAACCACAAGATCGGTGGCTCAAACCCACCAGTCGCTCCTCAGAAACCCTATGTAGGACTGGCTCTCTATAAGTCAGAACTGACTCAACAGCACGTAACACCACCACCAGTAATTGCAATAATTATAAGTAGACTAAATTGCCCAGTTAAAAAGAGTATCAGACTGGATTTTTTTCAAAATGCAACTATATGCTGTTTACAAGAGACATATGTAGAACATACACACAGAGGAAAAATAAAAATAAAAGGACGGAAGAAGAGCATGCAGACAGTATATAAAGAGCTCGAAGCTTGATTTTCCAGTCTTTGACAGTACAGCAATAGCTCTGTCAGCATGATATTCAGGCTCTCAACAAAAAGGCTCTGAATAGTCTAGCTAGCCAGGAGCAATCTGAAGGAAAATGCCCTTTGAGATCTGCCAGCAGTCTGGCTCCCTGCTTCATGGTATCTTTGGGCCCTAAAGCGCCCAGAAATCACTCAGCCTAACTTCTTTGCTAGGAACTCTAAACTAGCCTGTCTACAGCTGCTATGTTAATCTTTCCACAGCAGCTGAACGTTCAACAAAATGGTCCCACAGGGTCAGCAAGACGCTTAATGAGGTGCACCTCCTTGCTCTTTTGATGCGTATCTAGATTTGCTGGCATCAATGAATCACTGGAACATCTGACCAATGAGATGACTGGACAGAATCATTCCAAACCGTCAGGTAAACCATAACAAATTCTTTCAACCAGGCAGGAGTCTACTAGGTTTCTATCAAGAATAAACAAAAACGGGCTCATTAATGTAGTGAAATATCACTTCTACTCGGGTTACTAGTTTTCAATTTTGAAGTTAGACCTCTTTGCCATCAAGGTAGTCCTTTCTCCGGAATCGGCTCAACTATCACCTTTTCTGGGAAGCCTGCCCTAATGCGCTCTGTCCAGGTCGGGCTTCGTCTCATCACCAATCAGGGCTCCAGAGACGGGTCGCTGGGAGGTTCGAGTCCCCACCACACGGAGGCCAAACCCAGGAGACCGCCGGGCCCCGATGCCCGCGTTCACTCACCAGTGCAGATGAAAGGTGTGACCGCAATGGATAGCGGCCACGTCGCGGGAGTGGTCGAAGAAGTCGGAGCAGATGGTGCACAGCGCACGGATAGGCATGGTGGTTAGAACCAAGGGACCGGAGTAACTTAGGAAACCCACGCAGGTCCAGGTTCACTACCGCGCCCCCGCACTCCGTAGCGTTTCAAATTCGGCTCCACAGCACAACTTCCGGAAGGGAACCGGAAATGCATCCTTCAGAGGCGGAGCCTGAGGATTGAGCCTGGATTGGGCTAATTCTCGGGGGCGGGGCCTGGTAGCTCTCGTACAGTAAAAAAAAAAAATCTTAGGTCAGATCACTGGCTTCATTCATTGCCTGGGCATCCAGGTCTTGGCCAGCATCCCTAGAGCATCAGGACAGGGAGCAGCCGCTCTACCTACTGGGCTCTTCTCCAGACAGAGCGTTCTGATACCAAGCCAGACTTGATATGAAGTGGGCCGGATATGGGACCCTCAGCCCTGTTCTCCTTGGGCAGCCTTCTCTGCACTTCGTGGCCAAAGGAAGATGGTCCTGATGGGGAGCGGGCTCCCTAGGCTCTGGGTAGTTTGGGACTGTCTGCTGGCAGCTCACGTTTTCCACAGGCCAAGGGAATGTTCCACCCTCCAAGCCCTCAGGCTCTGGGTGGTCTTCAAAAGGTAACACATGAGCCCTAACCCCTCAGGACACCCCAGCCTCACCTTAGCTTTTATCCAAGCCAGGCATGACATCCTTGAGTTTGAAGACCTAGACCTAGGGCTAGTACCCTAACTTTTTAACTCTTAGCTCCTAGAAGCTAAGGAGGATCCATTATGCCTCTGGGACTGCAGAAGATTGGAATTTTTGAGATCCTGACAAGTGAGGTACACAAGGGATTAACATACCCTCTTTCTCATTCCCACATCTGAGAAGTTATCTTTGAGGTTCTCCCTGAGAGAAAGTAACATCCCTGGAGAGTTCAACTGGGCAGAACTGGGCTGGAACAAGATTCAATGTGGTCCCCAAGGGGTTTCACACTTTATCTTTAGTGTTTCTTTTTCCTTCCACAAGAGAAACTTTATACAGAACCTCATAATTTAAAGCTGATCTGCTCCACCTGAAGTAGTTTCAGAAGGAAGTATTTTGGGCCTGTGCGGTAAGCACAGATGTTGTTCACAAAAAGGAGGCATCAACACACAGGCAGCAGAGAACCTTTGTGGGATGCCCATCCAGCCCACTTTGACTATGAGAAAATCTCTCCCTGTTCTGGCTAGCCCTAGGTAGGTTCCAGCTCTATGCCCAAATTAAAACAAGTCAACAGGAATCATCAGTACAGTCCAGGACCTGCCACCTACATGGATTTCTAGTCTACAGGACATTCCTCCCACCGCTACACACCAAGGGGTTGGAGAGAAATATGCTGCAGTGGGATGATCTTCATCGTTAGCCCAACAATTCACATGGCATTGAGCACAAGCCCCTATTGAACCTATACCCAGACTCCTTCTCCCCACTAGTTTCCAAGGGCCCCTCCCCAGTAGGACAGAGGAAGCAAAGGCAAGAGGGTGGCCAGAGGCTTTGGCAGGGTGACGTTTTATTTGCCAGGTTCAGCAGGCAGTTAGCCCACTGACCTTCACACACACACCAGAGCAGACCCACAGGCATGCAGGGTGAAGGGCAGGACCACCACGGAGTGCTGAGTGGGGGCTGGGATTGGTATGGCTGCCTGCCCAGACGGTAGTGGGGTCTGACAAAGGGTACCTGTCAAAAGCATCCATCGGATAGGAAGGGGCTTTGTTCCACTTCCTCATCCCAGCAAAATCAACTCAAAAAATGGCTCAGAGGTGCCTGGCCTCTCTCCAAGCCCTCAGAGAAGAGGAAATGGGCTGTATAAAGAGGGGATTCTATTCCATTTTGTTGAACTGGGAGGGCAGGAAATATGCCTGTATAAAGGGTAAATCCCCAAATCATAAACTATGGGACACTGCTATGAGGCAGGCAAGCTGAGATGGAGAGGACTTCAGGACCGAGCCTAAAGAGGAAGGCGTTTGGGAAGAGTAAGGAGATATTATCCCTCCCTTTAGCCCAGGTTAAGGACCCAGTTGAGCTGGGGCACAGGGGTCCTAGGCCTGTTCTTTGCTCTCCCAGGTCTCCTTGCCATATCTTTATTGCTCTTTCCTTTTACAGGTTTATGAGGCGTGGGGTCCAGGGCAACCTGTTATAGGACCCAGAAGTACAGAAAATAACACAGAAATCTTGGGATGAACTTCCGAGGACCAAATATGGAAACTTCTAACATTCTACTCACTCTCTTCCACTTCTGAGGGCTCCCAATGGGCCCTTGTAACCAGTCATGTCTCAAAGAACACTGCCCTAGATTTCTGCATCCTTCATACCAGTCTGTGCCCACTCCTGAAGCAGCCCACACACTTTCATGTACAGGAACCTAAAATGCTGACAGGGCCTCAATAAAAGCAAGACCCCCTGAATTTGAGACCTTGGTGATAAGGGGACCCACAGGGCCTGACTGGGATAATCATGAGGGAAGAAGGGATAAGAAAAGGGAGCAGGGAGCCCCTGAGTATCTCTAGAGCAGCATCCCACAAGGAACAGAAAACTGGTGAAGCTAGCAAAAGACTAAAAAGCCACAAAGAATCCATGCAGGGTCTGGGGCCGGCCCTGTCTCTGGCCTGCCAACCACTCACACACATAAACACGGGAGACAAGACTGCTTTCCCGTGGCCTCCAAGGATGCCCCAAACTGCAGGGCAGAGGGGCAGGGCAAGGAAGGGGGCATCATGCCAGTGACTTATGTACAGTGAGAAGCCCCCATCCACTCTCCTACCCTCCTGACATCCCCCTTCCCCTAACCACCAGCCTGCCCACTCAGCTGGTCTCCTTCCTTTGAGACTCCTGGGCACAGCCAGTAGCCTCTTCCCCTTTACTATAGGGTAGAGCCTGGCCTGTTGTGCCCTCTGGGGCTATGCTGTCCGGCTGGGCCAGGGCAGGCTCATGGGTGGTAGATGACTTGGGGGCTGATGTGCCACTGCTTTCAGTGGTGGGCATGGGGCCCTCTTCTGTGGCTGGTGTGGCTCTCCCATCAGTGGCTGGAGTGGTACTCCTGTCAGTGGCTGGGGTGACGCTCCCATCAGTGGCTGGGGTGATGCTCCCATCAGTGGCTGGGGTGATGCTCCCATCAGTGGCTGGGGTGGCACTGCCATCTGTGGCTGGGGTGGCACTACGTTCTGCAGAGGCCACATTCTCATTCTTTGTAGCAATAGCAGCATCACCCTCCAATGTTGGGGCTGGGGTGGCCCCACTTGCAGCTGCAACTGTGGTCCCGCCTGCAGCTCCTGGGGTGGCAGTATCTGTGGCTGGGGCAGACTGGGCTGCAGCAGTGTTGGACTGCTCTGGTGCTCTGAGCCGTTTCATGAGGGTAGTGACTCGGACAGCCTTCTGAAAAGAAGACAGGGGAGAGAGGCTCAGGGTATGTCTTTCAGAAGCTGGACTCATTCCCTGGCAGTAGCCAAACTCAGCCCCTTCTGTGGTACCTTCAACTGCTCCAACTGCCTTTTTAAGGCCAGAGACCCAGCTGTTCAGCATGCCTACTTTAGGGCAGTAACTGTCACTATAGCCTTAAAGCTTGTGTGATGCAGGGAAGAAAAAAGGGGTGCTCAAGGAGTACTTGGGGTCAGACCAGGAAAAACTTACCTTCCACTTGGCCCTGGCAAAGTTCTTTTCAATCTGAGCACAGACACCATCCTTAATGTTCTTATCGGAAGCAGCATTGCCAGAAATCCTAGAAAAGACTCGAATGTGTCTGGTTCTGTGGGGTATCAGCCTCTATGGAGACTCCTCCAAATACTTCCCTATGGGTTCCAGGCACTATTAGATAGGGCTTCTGAGCTAATCTGAGCTCTGGGTGCCCTCCACCCACTCAAGATCTCATGGCTAGGGGTTACTAGGTGTGAGGAGGACAAATGCTAAGGGAACTTGGGTGCTCATCATCTTTTTCCTCCCACCCATCTCATGGCCCTGCTCACCACTCATGGGAGATGGCCTCTTCCGCAGTGATCCGCTGATCTTGTTCCACCTCCATCAGTCTGGTGACCAGGTCTTTGGCTGGGAACAAAACCAAGGAGAGGCTATGCATGGGCACCCCTGTCTTTCTAGAGGTGGATGAATGGGCTATGAAGCAGGAATGGAGTCCAACAGAGGAGGCTGTGTGCAGCACCCCATACAAACACACATATGCTGGGCACTTCCTTACCCGCCTGCGAAATATCATCCCAGTATGGAGAGTCAAACTCATAGTCACCAGCCAGGATCTTTCTGAAGAGATTCTTATCATGGTTCTCATAGTCATCTTCCTCCACCTCCTCATAGAAGGGCGGGTTCCCTGAAAGCCTGCATGAGGATTGAAGGACAGGGTCATCCAAGAAGGCCACAGACACCGGTTCCCACCCTGCCTGAGAGCCTACTACCTTGCCCATCCACTCACAGGATGTACATGATGACTCCAATAGCCCAGCAGTCCACAGGGCGTCCATACCGCTGCCGGCCTACCACCTCGGGGGCTAGAAACAATGTCCATCTGCTGGTCAGTATTGGGCATGGCTAGGCCCATTACCTGCCCAGTATCATATACACCACATCCTACAGTGGGGACTTGATTCCACCCTACCCACAGCAGTTCCTTAAAGGCTAGCCCCACCAACCTTGCCCTGCTCGACTCGCCCTACTACTTGCCTAGGTATTCGGGGGTCCCACAGGGGTCCTTGATGAGGCCATTCTCCAGTTTGGCCAGATGGAAGTCACTGATGACAATCTTCGAGTTCTTTAGCCGGTTATAGTAAACCAAGTTCTCCAACTATTCCAGCCAGGTATGGTATGAGGGTGGACAAAGGAAGACATCATGAGAGCCTCAGAGGCCATATCAAAACCCCAAGGTGTTGCCCAGCCCCAGCACAGCAGTCCACTGACCTCTTGAGTGTCGCCTCACCTTGAGGTTCCTATGTACGATCTTGAGTGAGTGCAGGTAGGCCACGGCCTCCAGGACCTGCCGCACCACGTTGCTTGTATCTCGTTCCGAGTAGTAGCCCTG